TAGGACCCCCCCCCCCCCCTTTGGGTCCCCCGGTTAAAAGCCCCCCCCCCCCCCCCCTCCCCACCCCGCCCCCGCCTCTCCTCTTCTCCCCCTCCTCCCAGCTCCACTCATCCCTCTCTCGCCATCTCCTGCAGGTGCAGGGGAAATACGAAACGAAAATTGATGGGCTTGCCCATCCCGGAGTGGTTCGACCCCACATAAATCCGAGACGGTGACGGGATGCTGTCGTGTGATGGTCTCAGGCCCAGTGAGGTAGTGCATCTGACTATCCCGGATCCTGCTGAACAAGCTCCTCTTGTAGCTCGATCGGTCACACCGCCATCGCCGTCGGGGAGAGGGGGGACGACACTGCTTCGGCAGCGTGCACCTCGATCCTGTACCGTGTTTGTGATGACCCCCCCCAATGAACATACCAGTGAGGGTGGGCGAGACGATCGAGGGGTCCCGTACCATGCGGAATCGACCCTATCCAGTGCTCAAGTGCTCAAGGGATAGGGACACAGTCAGACCATTCATCACTGGGGGTGATAATAGGTGTGTGTTGCCGTTGGGGGGGCGGGCGGGTTCAGCTCGAGGTGATTAATTATCCTGCGACACCAACCCCGTCTCCGCCTGCCCCACTGTCGCCACCCCCAAGCTACAGCGACTACAGCATCCATCAGAGAACTACAAGTGCCAGGACGTCTCCGTTGGGCTGAGCAACAAAAACACCGCCGGTAACTGCCGAAACGCGTGTGTCGAACACGCCACCAACAGTAGCTACCACCACGAATTTTGCTGCTCGTACCACACCCAGGACGACACATGCCGCGTCTCGCAAGATGGCAGCAGCTCCTACACCTCAAACAACAACTGGAAGGCGTTTACGTATTGAGCACGAGCCAACCCGGTCAGCTCTAGTTGTGCCGCGCCGATTCCTTACTATTCCATTTAGATTAGAACCTTTTAAATCAGATAGGAATGATGACGGCAAAGCAACCCGAATAATAATAGCCATTGATCCCTCAGTGCCGAGCCTTTTCACACCTGCTCGAGTAGTCACCGTGGCCCAACACGCAACAGGGTTCCGGCTCCTACCCGGATAGGGGGTCTGTTGGCACTGACTCGCGCCAAAACGCCCTACCTACCTACCTATCCCCAGGCCGCGCAGCGAAGCGAAAAAAGATGAAAATAGGGGGTACCTACCTATTGCAGGGCCCTTTTGGGCCAAACAAGACCAACCTACCTACCTATCTGGAAGGGGCCAGCCAGTGCCGGTAGGAGCCTGCACAGTCTGCACTGTTTGCTCCCCACTTGTCAACAGCAGGCGCTGGCGCCATCAACGTTCCTCCCCTGTCGCCCTTTCAGCCATCGAGAGATCAAAAACGCTCGGCCCATCTCTCGGGCCCACAGCCCCGGCACTGGCCGGAATGGGCTTCGACGACCTCCCCGAGGAGCTCGTCGCAAAAATTCTCACTAGCTGCTGCGAGACGGAACTGCTCGCCGTCGCCCGGCTCAGCCGCCGGCTGCGCCGCCTCGCGAGCTCCGACCGCCTGTGGCGGCCGCTGGCTGAGGCTCGCTTCACGAGCGCCTCGGGGAGAGAGGTGGTCGGCCGCTACGCACACGCGACGCGCTGGGTGCACGTCTTCCGCTTTGCGCTCTGCGAGCGGCAGCGCGCCGCGCTGTACTCTGCTCGCGCCGACGTTGTCTCGGCGGAGAGGCGCGTCGAGTCGCAGCGGAGTGAGGTGCACGAGCGCTCGCAGCATCTGCGCCGTCTTCGCTCCGCCGCAGCGCGGCAGCAAGCAGCGCGTCAGCAAGTAGGAGCAACTAAAATAGTTGAGGAGGTGAAGGCGGTGGAAGCGAGGATAGCAAAGGCTGAAGGTGCCTAGATGTGGAACATCTCCCCATATCTCCCTGTATCTCGAGGCCCAGATGCGGCGTGAGTCCGGCCTGTGTACTCTCGGTAGTCTCGTAGTTGCAGCAGTGCTGCTGCATGCGTATAGCCCTTGTACCCAGCTAACTCACTTTCGCGCGTGCATGTGCAGGCGCAGGCCATCCTCTCGGCGCAGGCGAAGCCGAGATTAGCCGAGATCTAGCCGAGATCTGGCTCAGCAGCCTGTGCGCAGGAGCGAGATCATCCGAGATCCCCCGAGATTTCCCCCGAGATTTCCCCCGAGATTATCCGCCTGCGCGCAGGAGGGCGTCCTCCGATGCTCGCGCGCGGCGGTCGCCCGAGCTCGAGGGGGCGAGGGCGCGCAGCACTGTGAGCCGGCGTACCACGTACTCTGCCTGTGAACAGGTCGCCGAGCTCGAGGCTGCGGTCGGCCAGCTGGAGCCGACAGACCCCCGCCAGCGTGCGCTCTACCGCCAGCGCGCCTTGGCCGCTCGCCACCAGGCTGGGCCGCCGGCGGGGCGGGTTGTCAGGGTGAGTCGGGCGTGAGTGAGTGTTCTTGATCTGAAACCGATCTCGCGCCGCTGGCACGTGCAGCGCCGCCCGCAGGAGCCTAACCACATGCCAAAAAGCATCGGGCAGGTTACGAGTGCTTGGAGCACTTTACTTGGTCTTGCTACACATGCTAGCCTGCCTTTTATACCTGACTCGACACTCGAGTAAGAAGCGCTAGAGGGCCACCGATGGGCCCGATGCCGATCGGCACGGTTAGTGCAAAACAGGTTGGTATGTTGTTAGCAGATCAGGACACCGGAGCTCACACAGAATCACAGTTCTTAGCTCCCCGGCCCTGTGGGTGTGAGGCCCTGCGGGTTACCGACTGCCGACTCCAAGTCGCAAGTGCTCAAGTGCTCAAGCGGTGTTTCGGGCTACGACCAGCACACACAAGAAAGCCAAAAATCTTTGATTCGGCTCCCGCTCCCGTGACGAAAAACGACCAACGCACCGGGCGCCTGCCCGAGAATTTGAGTTCGAATACGTAGGAGGCATCAGAGCAAAATTGAGCCCGCTAGGTGTGAAAAAAATATAAGGGTCAACTCGCCGAATTCGAACCGGAGCGCGGAGGCCACTCGACCATCGAGGTGCCACCGGCCGTTCTCAGCAGAGTAGATGTTCGTGGACCGGTGGCGTGGAACCGGCGGCCCATACACACCCGTAGCACATTACCGAGGGAACCACACACACACCGACGCCCGAAGTGGTCAGAAGGCCATGGGCGCCGAGAGAACATTCCCTCGAGAGGACAAAGAAAGCCGTCGCACCCCCTCCTTGCGCAGTGTGCCCCGCTATGTGTCGCCGATTGGGGCACGCCTATCTATCCTGTGCAGTCAGGGCAAGCGGGGGCGGGGGGCACTCCCCCTGGTCTGATACTGGGGTGTGACTGTCTCCAGTCTCGGAGGGGGGGCAAGAAGCTAAGAATATTTTATTTGATTCGGCTCCCGTTTTGTACCTGTGTTTGTGCCATGTGTGTGTGTCAGTGCGCGCCAGTCCCGTGCGAAGTCGTGCGAGGGAGCCATCTTGGTTGGAGCACTTGGAGTGCGGTAACCGCCATCCATGGCAGGCCCCCCCCCCCCCCCCCCGGGCGGCTAACGTGATCGGCACGAGCGACGCCGGACCGCTATCTCGTGAGCCTGTCAACCGCCGCCTCCACAAAACTGTGACATTGATGCCCCACTTGCTCATCCTCCTCCTCGCCCTCCCGTTCGGCTCGCCTGCCGCCCCGTCGGGCCTGCTTGTAAACCTCCTCCCGTCGCCCGCGCTCGGCGTGCCTGCCCGCCCTCGCTTCTCGTGGATAGTGCCTCCGTCCGAGTCGGAGCCGGACCACGCGCAAGTGAGCTACCGGCTGCGAGTGTGGGCGGAGATCACGGGCGGCGTCGTTTGGGACAGCGGTTCTGTTCGCAGCAGCTCGAGCGCAACCATCGGATACGGCGGGCACCCTCTCTCGCCAGGCACGGCCTACAGGTGGACCGTCACGACCACCTCACTCGGCCCGGCCGCCGAAAGCGTGCCGAGCGAGAGCGCGCCGTCCGAGGAGGGTGCCTTTGTCACCGCGCTCTTCGACGGCTTCGCGCCGAGCGCCTCGTACGTCTGGAGCCGGAACGGCTCTGGCACGTTTGCCTTCCTGAGGGCTGAGGTGGAGGCGCCTCGGGCGGGCAGCGTGCGGCGCGCGACCGCCTTCGTGTCGGCGCTGACGGACGACTACGTGCTCTGTGGCTTCAAGCTCTACGTCGGCGGCTTCCTCGTCGGCGTCGGCCCCGGCCGCGGCGAGGCGTCGCTCGAAGCAGGGAACGGCGCTTTCCTAGACTCCTCCCAGACAAGTCCTAGACACCTCGAACGAGGGAGCGGCGCCCATCGCTTGCTCGGCTCGCAGGTCGCTTCCTATGCTCACCTTTGGACGTCTGGTAGGCACCTTCATGGCGCGGCCGTACGTCGCCCTCGACGCGACAGAGGCGATCGCTTCGGCGGCTGCGCGGGGAGGGCGGGTGGTTGTCGCGCTGCAGGGGCTAGGCAGCGTCGGGGGCAAGGGCCAGGGCAAGGGTCAGGGCGAAGGCGAAGGCCAGGGCGAGGACAAGGGGCGAGGCGTCCTCCTCCAGCTCGAGGTGGCCACTGCTCCACCCTTCTCCGCAGCATCACCCTTCTCCACTGCTCCACCCTTCTCTGCAGCATCACCCTTCTCCACTGCTCCACCCTTCTCTGCAGCATCAGCAGCATCAGCAGCAGCGGCAGCGGCAGCGGCGGCGGCGGCGGCGGCGGCGGCGGGCTCCGCGGCACCGGGTGCGGCGGTGGGTTGCGGTGCGCGGCGTGGCAGGTCGACGAGCGCTGGCGTGGCCGCGGCTTCTCGCGGCGGCTTGCGGGGGGGGCGGAGCGGGGCGGAGGGGTGGACAGACTGCTGGGCGACCGGTTCGGGCGGCTCGCTTCGCCTGGTCACCGACGCGACCTGGTCCGCAGAGACACACGACACGCCCACGACACGCCCACGACACGCCCACGACACGCCCACGACACGCCCACGACACGCCCACGACACGCCCACGACACGCCCACGACACGCCCACGACACGGCCACCGCTTGTCCCCGACACTCCCTCTGCTGCATCGCCTCAGGTCCTCCTTCGACGCGGACGCGTACCTCCGCCCGCGGCGAGGAGGAGGCACTTCTTATGTCAAGGCGCTCGAGGACACCGACGCACGACGCGAGCCAGTGGGATGGAGAGACGACGACGCCTTTGCACCGGGCGAGGGGTGGGCGGCGGCGGTGCCTGTCTTGCCCGCCCGGAAGGCGGCGGGCTTGCACGCGGCGATGGCGCGGCCCGTCATGGTGACGCCAGCCTCGCAGCTGCTCGTGCCGTCGATCACGCGCCTCAACGCGACTTGGTTCGCAGACACCGCCACCAAGTGCTCCGCCGCAGATTCGCACGTCGCGCGACCACGGTGCTGCCCCGGTGCTCCCCCGCAGGTTCCTCGCCGACTTTGGGCGCGAGCTGCAGGGCGGGCTCGACACGTCCAGGACACGTCCACAACATGTCCGAGAAGTGTGCCTAGGCGCGAGCTGCAGGGCGGGCTCGACACGTCCACGACACGTCCACGACATGTCCGAGAAGTGTGCCTAGGCGCGAGCTGCAGGGCGGGCTCGTCTTGAGCAGCGGCGGCGGCATCCCACCAGGCCGGCGCCCCTCCTCCCGCCTGCTCGCAGAGCTGGCGGCGGTGCGGCGGGGTGGCGGCGGCGTCCAAGCGGGGCGTGTGTGTGGAAATAGGCAGCCGTGTGCGCGTCGTCTCCGGTGAGAGCGTGCAGCGGATGGCCGCGCACAGTGCGACCGGCGCCGGCCGCGGGGGCTCCCCCAGTGCGACCGGCGGCGAGTCCTCCTCCGGCGTGGTTGGCGACACGTGGGGCTTTGACTTCGAGTGGACCCTCCGCGCGGGCGCGCAGACCATCGAGCAGCATCAGTACATGGAGGACACTTGCTCTAGAGCCTGCTTGGGGCCTTGTATGTCACGGTCTTAAGCACGCCCGATGTTTTATAGTTCCGCTACGTCAACGTCGTCTTCGCCGACTCGCTGGCCGCAAGGGCCGGCTGGGCGCTGCGTGCGTGGCGGGTCGAGTACCCTTGGGAGGAGGGGCACGCCCGCTTCGACTCGAGCGACGCCACCCTCAACGCGGTCTGGGAGCTGTCGCGGTACACAGTGCAGGCGGGCGTCATAGACACGTACCTAGTCATCATCGAGAAGGAACAGCTACTCTTTCACAATGAAAACCACGGCCCCAGGCGGGTATCATCGACACGTACACCGACTCCAACACGCGCGAGCGGAGGCGTGCGAGGCGGACTGTCTAGGACACGTTCACGACATGTCCGGGAAGTGTCCCGTAGGCGCGAGCGGAGGCCGTATGAGGCGGACGGGCTGGTGGCGGCGACCGCGCGAGGGTGGGTGCAGCGAGACTTTGCGTGGGCGCGCCACTCTCACTCGTACGTCTTCGCCTTCCCGACGTGGCCGGTCGAGTGGCAGCAGGCGCCTGCTCAAGAAGTGTCTAGGAGGTGTCTAGGAAGTGTCTAAGAAGTGGCCGGTCGAGTGGCAGCAGATGACGGCGCTTCTCGCGTACGCGGACTACTGGGCCACGGGCGAGGCGGACCTCGCCGCCGCGTACATGCCTCTGCTGGTGCACAACCTGCGGCTGCAGGACAGGGACGGGACGGGTGTGCCCGCTCTCAGCAGCCGTCGCCCGCTCTGCCCGAGACGACGCCGCTGCACGCGCGACGTGGGCTGCGGTTAGGCTTGCTCAACTGCTCCGCCGTCACACGCGGAGGCTGCGCGGCTGGCCGAGCCGGACAAGGACACCACATCGTCGACTGGCGCCCCGCGCCAAACCGGAGCATGTTCGCCTTCTCGGAGCATCTCTCCGTCACGCAGGCGCCCGGCCCCACCACCAGCACCGGTCCTGGCCAGCGGAGTGCGGCGCCTCACGCACTCTCGGTGCCGCGGTGCAGGCCTTCGCACTCGCCGGGCTCGGCCGGCTCGGGTCTCTCGCGGAGCTGCTCAACCGTTCCGCGCTCGCCGCTTCCCTCGCGGGCGAGGCGAGATCACCCGAGATCACCCGAGATCACCCGAGATCACCCGAGATCACCCGAGATCACCCGAGATCACCCGAGATCACCCGAGATCACCCGAGATCACCCGAGATCACCCGCCTCCCTCGCGGGCGAGGCGGCGGCCCTGCGCGCCTCGATGGAGGCGCGGATGTGGGACGGCAACGGAACGGGCCGCTGGTGCGACGGCGCCTGCTCGGAGGTCGGCTGGCGCAGCGGAGTGACGACGAGTGCGCGGTGGGCTGCTCTTCGCACCTGCCTCACGGCGGTCGCCTCACGGCTGCAGCCGTGAGCAGGCGCGTGGATGCTCTGGCTCGGCCTGCTGCCCGCCGCGTCGGTGCCGGCCGCATGGAGCCAGTTGGCGGGGTGGGGCCTCGAGGGGTTCGGAGACTACGGCGCCTTTGTCTTTCTGGGCGCGCTCGCGGCCTTCGACGGCGACGACGGCTCCGCGCTGCTGCGCGCGCTGACGAAGTGCGACGCGCAGGGCTGGCGCCGAGACTAGCCGAGACTAGCCGAGACTAGCCGAGATCAAAGTGCGACGCGCAGAGCTGGCGAGGCGAGCGCCGTCTGAGGGCGCGTGAGTCTGCTGCCGTGAGAGTATGCGGCACGCGTGTGCGGCACGCTCGCCCGTGCAGGTGCGCGATGATGCGAGACTACAACGCGACGATGACTCGCGAGGCGCGGCGGCGGCGGCGGACACAGCGGGGCCGATCTCGAGCCCTTCGTCCACCCTCCTCTTTCGTCGCAGGGCCTCTATGGCGCGGGGGGGACTTCGTCGCACCCGTGGGGGACGGCGCCCCTCGCCGGCGTCGCTGGCGGGGTCGTGGGGGTGTCGCAGACGTCGCCCGGCTTCGCGACTTTCTCCGTCCGGCCCCGCCTCGCCCGCCTGACCCACGCCACGCTGCGCGTGCCCACGCTGCACGGCTTCATCGACGTGCACGCCACACCGAACGAGACGCGCGTAGCGCCGCCGTGCGGCACGACCGCCACCGTGTGCGTGCGCGACGGCAGCAGCGCGCCGCGCCGGCTCCTGCTCGACGGATCGCCGGCCGCCGCGCAAGTCGCCGACGGGCGGCACCGCTGCGCGGTCGGCGTCGGTTGCGGCGCCGGAGGGAGGGCGAGGAGGGTGAGTCTGGAGTGATCGCACTGTGTGGAACGCGCTAGCGCCCGCGGCGGGCCGCTAGGGGGCTCCCGCCCCAGAGACCCCGTTTACACATGAGCAATATGCCCCGCCCCCCCCACGTGCCACGAGCACGACCTGAGCCGGTCGGAGCCAGAGTGCAGAGAGAGACGCCAAGTCGTGTGATCAGCCGCCGTCCACCGGGCAATTTGTGACTCTGTTGGACCTGTTTTGTACTACTTACAGAGGGATTGTCGTCTCTCTGTTGGCCCCCTCCAGCCCGGCCGCCTCCGCGGCGGCATCCCACCGCCGCTGTAGCAGCGTCGCGAAGAAGGTCCAGTCGCTGCGCGACAGGCCGAGCTCAGCGCAGGCGCGCTGCTGCACGGCCGCAAAGGCGTCGAGCGTCGCCGCCTCCGCCTCCGCCTCGCGCTCGCTCAGTCCGAGAGGCGTGGCCCAGTCGGCTGCGGAGAGGAGGAGCCGCTCGTACAGGTCGCACACCTGTCACGAAAGGCGAGGGCATCCACTGTTTGCATTGACCATTGTATCAGGAGCCGCTCGCAAGTCGCACACCGGGGCCATATCTCGCCACATCTCGCCATATCTCCCCCAGATCTCGCGAGTCGCACACCGGGGCCACATCTCGCCACATCTCGCCATATCTCCCCCAGATCTCGCAAGTCGCACACCGGGGCCATATCTCGCCACATCTCGCCATATCTCCCCCAGATCTCGCAAGTCGCACACCGGGGCCATATCTCGCCACATCTCGCCATATCTCCCCCAGATCTCGCAAGTCGCACACCGGGGCCACATCTCGCCACATCTCGCCATATCTCCCCCAGATCTCGCGAGTCGCACACCGGGGCCATATCTCGCCACATCTCGCCATATCTCCCCCATATCTCGCGAGTCGCACACCGGGGCCATATCTCGCCACATCTCGCCATATCTCCCCCAGATCTCGCGAGTCGCACACCGGGGCCATATCTCGCCACATCTCGCCATATCTCCCCCAGATCTCGCGAGTCGCACACGGGGCCATATCTCGCCACATCTCGCCATATCTCCCCCAGATCTCGCGAGTCGCACACCGGGGCCATATCTCGCCACATCTCGCCATATCTCCCCCATATCTCGCGAGTCGCACACCGGGGCCATATCTCGCCACATCTCGCCATATCTCCCCCATATCTCGCGAGTCGCACACCGGGGCCATATCTCGCCACATCTCGCCATATCTCCCCCATATCTCGCGAGTCGCACACCGGGGCCACGAAGAGCTCCGCAGCGCGGATGACGGAGAGGCGGAAGGGCGGCAGCGGGCGGGCGGGCGGAGGCAGCTGCAGCGCCGGCCGAGGCACGTAGACGCCGTGCGCCCCTCCCGGGAGGATGAGGAGCATCTGCTTGGGCCCGAGGGTGGCGACCTGAAGGAAGGGGGGGGCGGGGGGGGGGGGGGGGGATGGAACCGGAAGGGATAGGTGGGCGGACGTGGCAGAGAGAGGAAGGGAGGGCGGAGCCTCGGTGGCCGCTCCGCCGGCCGAGCCGGCGGCGGCGGCGGTGAGTGCTTTGACCCACGGCAGCAGCTCCTCGACGCCGACGTCTGCCCCGGTGGCGAGCGAGTGCAGCAGCCCGCCCTCGAGCACGACGCCCGAGGAGAGCTCCTCCTTCTCGTGCCCAAACTCGGCCGCCTTTGCAACTAGCCGTGGCTCGTCTCAGAAGAGGGTCGCGAGTGTGTCGGGAGCGCCAAGCTCCGGCCGCCTTTGCAATCACCTCCTCGACGCTCCGCCCCTCCGCGCCGAGCCAGAGCGCAACGACCCGCCCCGACCACTCGGCGCCGAGCTCCCACCGCGTCGCAAAGTCCTCCGCCGCGAGTGTCGTGTGCCGCCGCTGCAGCGCGAGCAGCTCCTCCCTCGCCGGAGGGCCGAGCTCTGCCAGCAGCGACTGGATCCACGCTGCCCGCGGCGAACGGACCCACCGGTCGTGGGTCTGCCGCGCAACCTCGGCTCGGCGCTTGAGCACCGCGGCGAGAGACTCTGCGTTTGCCACGGTCTCCGTCTTTGCGGGCGGTGTGGAGCTTAGCGTGACGGTGACGCCGTCGGCGAGTGAGAGAGTCGGTGCAAAGCTAGAGAGCTGTAGAGAGGCCTCGCCGCCGGCGGGTGCCACCTGCACGAGCTCGACGCGGCGCTTCTTCGTCGGGGCGCTCATGTGTCGGTTGACTCGTTCTGAGCAGGCCGCCTAAATAGTTAGAGCCTGGCGCCGCGCGCTGCTGGGCCGTGCCGGGCCGGAGAGGCTCTGCAGGATTCGAGGATATTTAGGGGGTAGGGTATGGTTCGCCCGGCCCTGGCGCCGCGACCATACCCCCCCACCCGCACAGGACGTCGCCTCTGGCCAGCAGGACCATACCCCCCCACCCCCCACCACACCACACGAGCGCGTACAGTAACCGTCGTGTTAGGCCGTCCGTCCGGTCGTGCGGCACGGGTTCGCGCGTTGCAGTCTGCGCGAGGTGACCCGCCGGCAATCGTGCTCACCCCTCAGAGCGTGTCCGCAAAGGCCGCCAGGGCCTTGCGTGCCGGCGCAGGCGCGGCGTGTACTGTTGTAACGTGGGCGGTACGGCGGCTCCAGGTTTGACCATACCCCCCCTAGACCCCCCCACCCGTCGAGCCAGGACCATACCCCCCCACCCTTTTGGCCGGGAGCCACCATACCTTACCCTGTAAAAAGGTCGAATCCAGCGGTGTCCACGCCGTGCCCCCCTTTGCGCCGGCCCTGGATGTGAGGCTAATGACTGCACTCCAAGTGCTCCAAGTGCTCCAAGTGCCTGGCGCCGGCGCGCTGCTGGGCCGCGGAGAGGCAGCAGCGGTGAGAGGCTCTGCAGCGGTGTCCACGCCGCGCCCCCCTGCGCCGCGGCCACGAAGGCCTGCCAGGGACCCCATAGCTGTCCCCTCATCAATGCAGCTGCTCAATGTCGGCGCCTCCGACGCCGCTGCGCCCTCCTCCGTGGGCAAACCTGGGTTGCGCACCCAGCGGGCCGGATGATCGGGATCGGGCTACGGGCTAGAGAGCCCTAGCAGAAGACGTATTTTCTTCTCATTTGCAAGGTCTGCTGTGAAAATTTGCCGCCGGCACCCCAGCGTAGGAATCCTAGTACTCTCCTAAGCTGTGAATCAGACGCACTTACCTTCGGGGGCAAGTCCCAATCCCACTAGGGTGGGCGTGCTTTCACAGCCTCACGAGAGTAGAATCCTAGAGGGCCTCTGTACAGGTCCTGGCTTCGGTTTCGCAACAGCTTCGTTTTCACAACGCGGCCGCCTCGCGACGCCGCGCCATCGTGCAGATCGTGTCCGAGCCATCCACAAGGCCGCCGGCACATGTGCCAATGTGCCCGGAGCGCAGGGAGTCGATGGGTGCCGCAGTCCAAGCGATCACTGCACTGCAGTGCTCGCTCGCACTGCGGCGCTGCGCCACGGCGGCGAAGCATGTCTGGACTTCAAGGACAGTGCTTCTCCGCTGCTCGAGGCTTGCGGCAAGGTCCAGGCCGACCACACAGAGCACCCGAGGCAGCTGGCGTGGCCTCACTCATGACCTGTGCTACCCGTCGGCGGGGCCAGCTGCGGTTTCACAAGTTCACAACGCGCCTCATTTTTGGCACCCTCCTGCTAGCCGCGCATGAGTAGGGAGACCGTGTGTGGTGTCTTCGCGGCCTAGAGCACCCTCTTGGCAGTCTATATTCCGGATTTTAGCCCTCCTGTCGCATCTGGTGAGCCGTACCATAGCGAGGACCAAACGCGTTGTGAAACCAAAGCCAGGACCTGTAGGTTCCTAGCCCTCCTTTTTGGCTTGACTCTCTCATGATGCTCGCCGCATTGAAGGACGCTTCGCCGCCGGAGGTGCAAGAGAAGGCGCTAGCGCGCGTCGTAGAGGCGTTAGGGGCTGGGCGAGGCGACGAGGCGGCGGTGCTGGCGTGGCTTGATTGCGGCGGGCGGATCAACGCGACTTGCGAGGAGGGCGAGATGAGTGGCGTCACTGTGCTGATGCTCGCCGCCATGTACGGCCACGAGCGGGTGGTCGAGCTGTTGCTGCAGCGCGGCGCGGAGATCGAGCTGCAGAACAGCGACGGCGGCACCGCGCTGATGATCGCCGCCGGCAACGGCCGCGAGCCGTCGGTCGAGCTGCTGCTGCAGCGCGGCGCGGAGATCGGCACCGCGCTGATATGCGCCGCCGGCCAAGGCCACGAGCGGGTGGTTGACCTTCTGCTGCAGCGCGGCGCGGAGGTCGACTTGCATACCAGCGACGGCTGGACCGCGCTGATGGCCGCCGCCGACAAAGGCCACGAGCGGGTGGTCGATCTTCTGTTGCGGCGCGGAGCGGAGACCAACAAGCAGGATAGCGACGGCGACACCGCGCTGACGGTCGCCGCCGGCAACGACCACCCCGCCGTCGTCCTCCGCTTGCTTCGCGCGGGCGCGGATACAGCGGTGCGCTCTGAGGACGGCAAGACAGCGCTGCAGTGGGCCAAGGAGAAGGGCCACGCAGCGTGCGTCGGCGCCTTCCGGCAGCACGTCGCAGAGGTGACTGCGGCCCAGCGTGAGGCGGCGGCGGGCGGTGTGGGCGGTGCTTCCTCGGGCGAGGCGGCGGCGGGAGCGAGGGCCGCGGCCTCTTCCGGCTCACCGGGCAGCCTTTCCGAAGAGGCCAGGCAGGCGGCTGCGCGAGGCGAAGAGGCGGCGCTGCTGGCGTGGCTTGACAGCGGCGGGCGGGTTAACGCGACTTGCGCGGTCGACGATGTGAGCGGCGTCACCGCGCTGATGCTTGCCGCCCAGAAGGGCCAAGAGGGGA